AAAGTGTTTTAAGTTTTAAGTGAATAGTTGTGATTTAATTGATTCGATTCCCTGCTTTTATATGCATTAATCTCGTAATCCTTTGAGCCATTAAAAAACACCTCTTAAGGTGAAAAAGGTTCTCACTTAATCTATGCCAATCCAAAGGCAGCGTCGCCACGTCTTCAACTGATTGTGGCTTCCATTATAATCTTTGGCCGTATACGTTTAGATAGTACTTTTCCGATATTTAGGGATGCCCTTATGCCCATCAGAGATTTTCTATATTGATGATTCCGCACTCCCGGCACTTCGGCTCCGAAATTAATTTCCATCTGTAATATTTCTGTTCCCCTCACTGAGTTTAGGTTCTCTCCTTGGTTTATGCTGGGATAAACCTTGTTAAGCCTCCGGTGTTTGACCGTAGTTATATGCTTGGTAACCAATCCTGGGTTACTGTGATCAATACTCCTTCTGAAGCTGTAGTTGTAGTTTGACGGAATCCAAGCTTCCTAAAAAAAAATTGATCCCGAGGTCTGCTTCGAAGATGTGGCCAAAAATTAGAATTAGAAAATTTTCTGATTCTTGCATGTGACATCCTGTAAGAGGGGAGATTTCCTGTAAGACGGTAAATCAAGTTTGAAAATAATAATATTGTGGAGTATATACCGAATCAACAGGTGTGTTGGCTTGGTGGTAAAGTACTTCGCTAAAAAATGTTTAGGTCACTGGTCCCAGTGGCTTCAAAATTTTTGCATTTGATGTTAATCTGGTTGGCCCATGGCCCAGTTGAAAATTGTCTTGTGCGTTACGTTCGAACATTGGATCAAAATGTGAACGGTCAGAAGCCCCAAAATCGGGTAGAGGTTCAGCCAACTGCACGCAGGCCAGAAAGTCGGACAAAAACAAACAAGATAAAGATCAGCCCAGCAACTCGTAGTACAATACCAGGTGCAGGGCACAAATATTTTTGTTTCAAAAACAATATATAAAAACAAGAACGTTAACGTTTTCACACTTTGGCCTGAAAAATCCTACATTTGAGCACTTTGATTTTTCGTATTGCTCATTGCTCTTCAGCTTTCACCATTGGGAGCTCATTGCACACAGCTTCTAACTTTGAGAGTTCATTATCAAGATTATTTATTTCAAAAGGAATTTAAGCTTTCCAGCCCCGCTTTTATCGGGTTCTCAGTCTCTATGCTCTGTGCGAGTATGCATTCTCTCCAGCTACAGGCTTAACCATGGTTTTCTTGTGTTTAACGAGCAATTTCCCCACGAGTGCTTATGTCAAAGCATCAGCAGTCATCTCGTCTGTGGGCGTATATCGTAGGATCACCGAATTGTCTTGAATTTTATCCCGGATAAAATAGTATCTTAGGTCGAGGTGTTTGGTCCTGCGGTTCACCTTGTCATCTTCAGCAATTTTTATCGCCGATTGGTTGTCTTGATTAATGACAATTGGTTCAATGTCGATACCAAGTTCCGACAATAAATTTCGCAGCCAGCAGATTTCCTTTGTGACATCATTCAAAGCAATAATTTCTGCTTCGCAAGTGGACTGTGCTGTCAGTTTCTGTTTTCTTGATACCCAAATCACAGGTGCACCGCACATAAAAATGACGTAGCCCCTTGTTGATTTACGGTCTGTTGCGTCAGAGGCAAAGCTTGCGTTAGCGAAAGCTACCGGCTGATGGGGTATCTCAGGGTCAAACCTTAGTCCATATCCAGAGGTGACTTTCAGAGATCGAAGTACTCGTTTGGCAGCGTTCCAATGACGTAGGAGTGGCTTATCAAGGTGCCTGGATAATTGGTTCACGGCGAATGTTATATCTGGTTGTGTACCATCAGCTAAGTATCGAAGGGCGCCGATGAGTTCTCTATAGGGCATATTTCCGGCGGGCCTGTCAGAATGACATGGTGTCAAATACGTATTTTGTAAGGGAACTGGTGACGGCTGGGCATTTTCCAAAATAAAATTTTGGAGTAATGTGCTGACGTAGATTTGTTATTGTATGGTGACTACACCCGATGGCAGAAATCCATTTTCATTTTTAAAAACTATTCCGCTGTTGGCATTGATTTTGTTGACCATTTTTTTTTGAATAAAATTGCCTCCAAAATATCCAGAGTTCGCATGTCAAAGGCTAATGCGATTTTATCGTCCACATATACAATGACCAGGTCCAAGGTGCCATCGGAGTTTTTTTCTCAAAAAAATAATGATGGGTCTGATCGCGTTGGCTGATATCCCTGTTGACCTAGAACCTCACAGACCTCCACAAAGTATAAGTAGCCAGATTGATTTAGGCCATATAGTGGTAAATTTACTCTGCATTATACGGCTTTGTAACCTTGGCTGTACTCATGATATAGTTAAAAAGT